TAAAAGAATTATTAAAAAAAATAATAAAGATACCAAGAAATATACAAAATGGAATGTGATGTAAGAGAATACTAAATACAACATTTAAAAAGTAGTTAACAAAATATAAATGGCACACTATATGTACAAGATCTATTCGAAAATAAAGCATATGTAATATAAAATCAATTTAACATTTTGATTTAAGGGCAAAACTAATAGTCTATCTCTATATATATTAATTGTTATTTTTGTGTGTGTGTTGTTTTTGTTTTTTTTAATAGACCTCAACCTCTATAGAATAACCTACTCATTACAACAACAGTTTTAATCTTTTTAATTTTAGACATCACAATAAATTTGAGCCGCATCATGACAAATCCAACATAGTGCGTTTGCTCTCAGCATGGATCCATGCTGTTTGCTATCAGTTTCTCTACTTGCTATAGGGTTTGTAAGCGAACAGCATGGATCCTGATCAGACTGTGCGGATGCGCAGGCTGGTCTGGATCCATGCTGGTCGCAAATGCACTATGTTGGTTTTGTCATGACGCGGCTTATTTAATCTTTTTAGAACAACAACTCTTAGTAACAACCAATATCTATGTACTACAGTACAATCTCTGCTGAGCGGCCAATCACCTCTTTACAATCACTTTTTGCTCTAAATCTAACTTACGTAGAGCAACACCTCTCGGTTGAAATCAAAATTGTTGCCTCCCAAAGGGTGTTGCCTTACAGAGGTTATTCTCTTGTTCAGTATATTCAAGTTTTATTACCGTACAAGTTTTTGCACGTTGTATAAACCTTTACCACACTAAATATCTTAAATGGACTTGCCTGTCTTTTAATCTGGACAAAACCATTCATCATTATTGGGAAAAATTTTTTAACCACTACTAGGCGACTGTGATAGTTTTACTTAATGACAAAAAAGTCAATTTTAGATGGAATGTGTTAAAGGGTGAATATAATTAATTAAATAGCAGTCCTGACAGATTCCAGATATGCCCTTTAAAAAACTGTTGACAACTGAAATAGCAAAATAATGGCTGTTTTCTTTTATCTAAGTCTGATTAAGGTATTTTTAAAGAAAATTGAGACATTTGTGTAATAAAGGTGTATTCAGGGTCTTTAATTTTGCAAGACCCTTGTTTAATGTACAATATATAAAAATAAAGAATGCTGAAAATTTATCACAGGCAATGCAACTAAATTTTTTCTAATGCAAATAGTCTCACTTGAATTAAAGCAAAAGCACATATAATGTTATAAATTTATAAAGAATTTCAAAAATAATTCAAGTGAAGATATACATTCGCATCTTTTGATCCAAGTTGAATCTTGTCAAAATATGGAAAAACAAGTCTACACAAAACAATATAAACTTCTTGAATGAATGCATGGATAATTGTCAATCTGTTATATTTAACCCTTTACCAACTAAATGTAGCTAAACTTAGCTTCACTCACCCACCTCAATCTGAAATATTAATATCCACTCTATACCTAGAAACTAACAATTAACAAAACCTTAAACTGTAGCTATACTATGAAAACTTGTAATTAAAAAGGGGCTTAACTCCAAACAAATAGCTTTCAGATTTATGCCTGACAACTGCACACTGTCACGATAAGCAAGAATTCCCAGTTTCATGTTGATTGATAACTTTTAAAATATTTGAATGATGGGCTACATTAACGTTTTTGCAAATCAAAAATGACGACGACTTTGCAGTGACCATAATAGCTTGAATTTTTCTTCAAAACAGATAAGCTAAAAAATGATATTGTAATTGACATTTCTCAGTAAATTGGTGTATCAGATCTTTTACAATGTACTTGAAAAAAAAAATCAAACAAGGCAAAAATAGAAATGCCGACACTCAACTACAGTGATAACATATTTGATGGCAAGCTAAATCAGATTCGTACATAAAATATCTTTGGTTTTAAAAATTCTATATAACTATTAACATGGTAACTTAGTGTTAGGAAATCAAAACCTTCAAAGTTCAAGAACAATGTCCTCATAAATAACAACGAAGACAACAAAAACAGATAAAAGAAACAAAGACTAAAAATTTATCACAAATGTTTCTATATGAAATAAACAATAAATAATAATCATGTTTAACACACATCTAAAATCTATTTCTCGTTACTATGGTAAACAATGAAATAAGAAAGTCTTAAAAACTATACTGAAATAAACAGTGGTAAATAAATGTCTAAAATCTGTATCTTTGGTCAAAAGTAGTTTACCGTAACATACATGTATTAAATTTTTTTTTATTGTATATGACACTATTGTCTGTGAAAATGTTCAATGTGCAAAGCAAAAGCAATAAATAAAGCAATGTCTGCAGGTAATAAATAACAAGAATACCAAATACATCTATGAATATCGTCCGATACCAATTAGACAACCATAATAATAACAAACTTTGAGGAAAATTGAAAAAATCTATTTTTTTAGTGACCTTAACCTGGGACATCTTAAGGTAGATATCCATGCAAGGTTCCTACAACCAAATATAACAAAAACAGATAAGGACAACCAATATGTGTAACAATATGTAAGTGTTACAAAACGAAAAACCTACAACTATTTTCACACAAAAATCCTTAGCTTTTTCTACCTATACCTTACTAAATTTTGAAATCCTTTTTTCTCTGTTTTTTTTTACCCTATTTTTCTCTGATTTTTTTAAAAATTTGTTTCACATTTTTTTCTTCTTTCATTGTTACATCATTCACTGTATCAAGCAAAAGCAACAATAACTAATCTATCAAGTAGTGCAGAAAAATCAAGACTTATCACCAAATTTTTTAAACATTTTTCTTACAAAATTATCAGATATCAAAGTCAAACATATGAAATCAAATCTCTAAAATAATACATGTGGATCACAACTTTTTGAATAGACACTCTAAAATCACACCGAATCAATACCTTTTTTAATTTTGTATTTTTATATTCACACTGAATGTATAGATTTTAGTTACATCTCATGAATACAAATTGAATGTATGTGGTGTTTTTTTTTAATAACACCTCGATCAATATTTTTGGATGTAATACTATATACATGTGTTCACATTGGATTTATACTTTTGAATAAAACCTTTTGTATACACATATAATAAAATAACAACAACAAAACTTCCTAGAAAAGAAAACCTTTTTCATCAAATTGGATCTATACTGGTTTCCTAGCAGTTTCCGTCCCCTAGCAGTTTTCCGGCCGTTTATCATTTTCGTCCAGTACAGTCTATTTTTACCAGTAAGGCATCCACATTACTTCATCAATCAGAGAGACATTTGTTTTCTATGCTAAACAGCATTTAAAAAAGTACAACGATTTATATGTTTTGAAGTTTTGCCTGTTATTAAAAGTTACATAAGGGAACTTGCAACATTCAAAAATAAGCAACACCTGGGGAATTTTAGTTTGAATATCCATGTGCAATAACTAAGACCCCATTTTAGGTAAATCAATACTTCGGAAAATATTTTTGCAGACGACACGGAAAAGGTTGGGAAGTTCTGTTTGTCTGATAAAATCATCTTAATATTGCTTTATGGTACTGATTTATATTCAAAATAAAAATGGTCCGGAAAACTGCCATGAATTTTTTAATAAAGGTGAAAAAAGGCGTTACATTTCAGGCCTATATTCAAACTAGAAAGTAAAATGAAAGTGCAACATTAAACACATGGCAATGCTGGACAGGTACATGTACCTAACTTTGTCCTGTCTAAGTTTTGTGCCCCTCCGTATACTGATTTTTATTTTATTTGTTAAAAAGTGCGATTTGTGGCCAGAAACTGCTAGGAAACCAGTACTTAAATATTTTCTCATTTACACATAGTAGATCTATACTTCTTTAATTATACAATGTACCTCTTGAAAATATACACTGGATAATACGTTTCTGAATAAAATCTCTTATACATTGTACACAAATTGGATCTGCATTATTGTAATATCTTATATCACAAAAAATAACACATGTAAAAAGATAACTTTTAAACAATGAAGCATAAATAAAAAATGGCACAAAACTTCAAATAAATGAAATATAAGAACATACAAAAGAATTACTATTTGGCAAAAATATCTTTCAAGCTTATAAGTCTAATACAATACTATCACATTATGTAACCTTAACTTCACAATAATTTAGAATAAGAAAAGATAGTTCAAGACTAGCTAAAGGCGGAATAATAAGTGTTTAATATAAAAGTAAAAGATATCTGTATTTTATCACATAAAATTGTGCGACACACACAAACAAACTCTCTGCTTTCGTAAGCATGATAACAATTCAAGAAGAAAATCTGTCTTGGTGATATTCATCTTCAATGATCTTTGCACAGTGTACAATCTATTTATACACGTTTTTGTCACTTGTTCCGAAATACTGAGTCCATCTTTGTTTAATCATTGGAAGAAATGTTTTCTCATGCAGTGCCGAAGCTTTTACATCAGCATTATTCATTGAAGTTGTAGCTTTCACAGGGACCTGATGGAAGATGTTACCAAGCAACCCTTTTTCTAGATTCACTTTCTGTACAGTAAGCTCAGCAGACATTGCCTGCGGACAGTACTCGGCATCGTACATCATGGTGATTGCTGAGGTTATACTGATATAATCAAGGTTACCATCGCCATCTACATCACCAATAATACCTGGTGCAAAAACAAGATGAAATGCTGAATTCCAAAATGACCTGTGATACACAGTGAAAATGTGATATCTGTAGAAATTCAACAACAAACTAGAGGATGCTTTTGTAAAAAAGCGCATGTCTCCCCCACTGCACTGTGACCTTGACCTTTGACCTACTGACCCCAAAAACAATAGGGATCATCTGCTCTATAAGACCAATCATCCTATGAAGTTTGAGGGCTGTAGGTCAAAAGGAACTCTAGTTATCATCCGGAAACGAGAAATTGACCAACGGTCACTGTGACCTTGACCTTTGACCTACTGACCCCAAAAACAATAGGGATCATCTGCTCAATAAGACCAATCATCCTATGAAGTTTGAGGGCTGTAGGTCAAAAGGAACTCTAGTTATCATCCGGAAACGAGAAATTGACCAACGGTCACTGTGACCTTGACCTTTGAACTACTGACCCCAAAAACAATAGGGATCATCTGCTCAATAAGACCAATCATCCTATGAAGTTTGAGGTCTGTAGGTCTAAAGGAACTCTAGTTATCATCCGGAAACGAGAAATTGACCAACGGTCAGTGTGACCTTGACCTTTGTCCTACTGACCCCAAAAACAATAGGGATCATCAGCTCTATAAGACCAATCATCCTATGAAGTTTGAGGGCTGTAGGTCAAAAGGAACTCTAGTTATCATCCGGAAACGAGAAATTGACCAACGGTCACTGTGACCTTGACCTTTGACCTACTGACCCCAAAAACAATAGGGATCATCTGCTCTATAAGACCAATCATCCTATGAAGTTTGAGGGCTGTAGGTCAAAAGGAACTCTAGTTATCATCCGGGAAACGAGAAATTGACCAACGGTCACTGTGACCTTGACCTTTGAACTACTGACCCCAAAAACAATAGGGATCATCAGCTCTATAAGACCAATCATCCTATGAAGTTTGAGGGTTGTAGGTCAAAAGGAACTCTAGTTATCATCCGGAAACGAGAAATTGACCAACGGTCACTGTGACCTTGACCTTTGAACTACTGACCCCAAAACAATAGGGATCATCTGCTCAATAAGACCAATCATCCTATGAAGTTTGAGGTCTGTAGGTCTAAAGGAACTCTAGTTATCATCCGGAAACGAGAAATTGACCAACGGTCAGTGTGACCTTGACCTTTGACCTACTGACCCCAAAAACAATAGGGATCATCAGCTCTATAAGACCAATCATCCTATGAAGTTTGAGGGCTGTAGGTCAAAAGGAACTCTAGTTATCGTCCGGAAACGAAGAATGGACGGACGGACGGACTGACTGACGGACGGACGGACTGACGGACGGACGGACAGGGCAAAAACAATATGTCTCCCCCCGAGGTGGGGGAGACATAATTATTATTATTATGTCTGGTGAAATATACTGAAATTTAAAAATTACCTGCTAAAGAAGCTTGAAGTATAAACCTTATCTGTCTTGTAGAATGTGCAGATTAGACTGGACATTATTTTAGACAGGTGTTACAATGGTGGGGTGCATAATTTCACTTGTTATAACATATAAACATATAAATAGAAATAAATAAAATTTAAAGCCTTATATCTAGGAAATATTTTAAAGTCAGTCAATCTAAATTTGACCCTTAACCTGCCGAATGTCTAAAATAGCACCAGTGTAAAAGGTAGATAATGTACATAATGTTTTCCTTTAAATATAACTATGATGGATATAATACCTGAGCTCATGCTGTCTGGATCTTCAACACTGCACATTGTCTTCTTCCCTTTCTTCTCCTCTCTCCTAGGTCTATGTGAGCCACTTTCTCTACCTGGTATATTATCTTCAGAGTCAGTATCTATAGATTTGTCGTCAGACTCGTGAGCAGAATCTACATACTTTTCTGTAGTACTAAATTCTGTGTTAGCATTATCGCCAGTAGTGTCATACATATTGTCCGTCTCAGAGATGTCTTTATTATCATAAAAATCATCTTCTGCATTATCATCAATATTGTCATTATTATCATCATCCATTTTATCATCAATATTATCATTATCATCATCATCCATTTCATCATCAATAAAATCATTATCATCATCCTTATTATCATTCATATTATCATTGATATCATCAATATTATCATTATTATTATCCATATTGTTATTGATATGGTCATCATTGTGGTCATCAACATTGTCAATTTCTTCAGAATTTTCCTGCCACTCACCATCTTGAGCAGGATGGTTGTTACCCTGATTATCCGGATTTCCTTCATGCTTGAATGGAGCACTATGCCCAGAAGGTGGCTTACTGCTACATGTTAGGGCAGCATCTGTAAAATACAGATTCGAAGATAAACAAATGAATTTGTATTCTTTACTTTCACATCTCTATTCAGTAGTGCAGACATACGAACGGACTTACTTACAAAATGGTACTAATGTGACTTTTCCTTTGATCTTTTTAGCCATTTTTAGTCACACAAGGCTTAATAAAAGACACACAAGTAAAAATGGAATGAATAGAATCAAAGAGAATTTACTGTTACCCACTGTTCTCCAAGTCACACAAGTACCTCTGGGTTTGTAAGGACGTACAAAGCGGCGACTATATGCTCACCCTTTGGGGAGCATAAAAAGGCAATTGTACAGCAGACAATTTAAAAAATTTGCTGGATCTTAAACTCGAAGATTCACCCATCCATGAAAACCACGTAAAAATTAATACCCACAAATAATAATGATATTGCATTATATAATATGAACAATACCGTAAGTATGCTTCTTGGTAGGGATCTCAAGAATTCTATAAGGACTCTGTATAGAGTCCCTGTCTACAATGAACACCTCTCCTTTGTATGTTGATAAATCATCATCACAATTAAAACCACTGTAAAACTTCTTACGTCGCCACTCAGCTGAAATAACAGGTTACACTGTATAAATCCAAAAGTTTATATATTAGTGCACTTGTGCTACTTTTATTCATTTGACGGGCAAGTGCTGTGTTTAAACAATGTTGCTCATAAACCAAAAGCATTTGACATTTTAAAAAATATACACAGATTTAACTGTTAAATCATTCTATAATTTCAAAATATAATTTGAAACTCTGGTCTTCATTAAGGCAATTCATTTTATGTGAATGTATCAAGTATCAGAAATACTATTTCCACAAAACATTAATAGCAAAATTTAAGGATAATTTCAGCATCTAGAACTGCAACTGCAAATCAAAACTAAGATTTCAGAATCCTTCACTGACAATTTCCTTGCTTGTTGCTGTTTATTTTTCAAAATAAGCACTTTTCCAGTCAGTTGTAACTTTCGCTCCCCCTTCCCCAGGCAATATCCAAATTCCTGGTAATAGCTCAAATTAAATGTCCCCCAATATTTTTGCACCAAATCAAAAACATGTCACAGACTCCTGCATTAATTCATTGACAGAAGGTAAATTTTGCCTAATTTTCCTTATTTTCTCTGCACTCCCATGTGGTTGAAGGTTAGTATAACAATTAGTATAACAATTAAATGGTATATTATATGCACATTCTGTAACATTCTGTAACAATTTGTATAAGAAAGTAGACTCTATATAAATTAAAAAATCTTTACGTGTCGGCTGCCTGATATCAGGTTCTTCATTACCATGACGTCTTTGTCTACCCTGTACATGCTGTCTACCCTGTATAATTTATGAAATATTTGAAATAAATATATATATGATTATATACATATGGAAGATAAAAAAAAATGTTTAAGAGCTTATTTTGATTTCAAGCAATATGATCCAAACATGGGTATGTGAACAAATACAATTTTCTCCTTTTAAAATGAATGGAATAACTGAGAATAAAAACATTCCACCTTCAGTTTTTTTCTCATGATTTTGGGAACATGACCTTTACCCATGGAATTCGGAATTTCAGCCATGTTTTGCTAAAAATTAGGAAAAAATGCATGACTTAAATTTTTCAATGATTAAATGAATGTTAAGAAATACTGACTAGGATGGCATCTTCAAACATTTAAGCCCTTATTTTCAATGATTTTAAAATTTGTTATTCAATTTTTTTATTTTGTAACTTTCAATTATCTGTGGATTGTGAAAATAACATATGTTTTCAGTTGGGAATATGACCGAATATCGGTTATAAAATAAGCCAAAATAAACCCTTACCTTAAAGGGACTCCACTGAGGTTTTAAGACATGATGAGACTGTAAATAATTTTTTGAGATGAATGTTCCATTTGATGTAGGTCAAAACCAATAACTTGTGTGCAAAAAATTTCAGATTATTCGCTCTCTGGTTTTTTTCAGAATAATTGAAATGACCAAATATTGAAAATCTTTGCAACACGTTTCACTAAAATTGGACAGAATAGCACAAAAATACAATTTTCTGTTTTTGTTTTTTTAGGCCTTTGGACCTCAGTGGAGTTTTTTTCACTTTTGGGGGAAGGGGTCGGTGCCCTTTGGAGGGGGAAAAATGCAATAGGAGGGGTAATTTAATTTGTTTACTTATTTATATTGTTTTCTTTGCAGTGGAAAAGGGGAGCAACTCTTGCAACACAAGTTTAAAATACATCTCTTTTTCTTTATATATTGATGCGTCGCATGTTTAACTTGTTGGGACGCCAGGAGTAGCTCCCCTTACCTACCAGAGAACAATTTGTAAACAACTTTGCTTAACAGTAACTCTTACAGGCATAAAATAAAACATTTTTTGGCAGTTAGTTGCAAAAAATTGATAATCATTGCAGGAAAATTCGGGCTGCCATATAGGGGGAAATTAAGGCTTTGAGGGGGGAAAAAACATACTATTTTGAGGGGGGAATGGGGCTGAATTTCGCTGAATATTTTGGTGAAAAAAAAAAAACACTGCCAACTATATGAACAAACGGTATGTCAGTATAATAATAATATGGGATGATAACATATTTCAATTGACTGTGTAAAAACAATAAAGGGAGGTAAAAGTCGAACAGGAAGATTTTATAAAATAGTTTTCTTACCAGGAATGTATTCATCATTCGCAAAATTTAATTTATTGGCAGAGGCTATGTGATTTAGTTTGACAGTTTAAAAAATAGTGGCATTGGCATGTATTGCTTTTACTTGCAGTCGCAGAAAATGTTAAAACTGTGATATCATAGAACCCATGATATCATAGAACCTGCGATATTATAGAACCTGTGATATTATAGAACCTGTGATATCATAGAGAACCTGTGATATCATGGGAACAGAGTATAATAGTTGTCATAAAACAATGCAACTTAACCTTGATTTTTTTTTTATAAAAATTTTCTTTAAAATGGGCTGTAACTTACCTTTTTATCAGTTCTTACAAGTCCATGTTTTGTCGTTTTAAATTTTGAGTCCCGACCTTGAACTTTGAACACGAAGGCATCATGATGTTTAAGACTTGTGGCTATACTAAGACTTGAACTCATCTGGAAAAAGTTGGACTCTAGGTTCCAGAGAACACTGCCGTCCTTACCACTGATCACATACACCTGATGATATCATAAAGAAAAACTTAAAATAAATCTGAAATTTCATGCCTTTTGAAGAGACGTTACTTTTCACAGTCACTTTTATTCATTAGAAGTATTTCAAAGTTATACTCTTAAAGAAAAAAGAGATTGAAAAACAGACAGAAAAACTGACAGAAAACTTGCAGACAAAGATTAATAATGATTAATAATGTCTTACATAGACACTGTAATATTCCATCCATACACCAAAGTTCCAGGTGACCATAAAATCAATGTACTCATCATCATTGAAATATCCTGGGGCTGGTGTCCTTTAAAGAAATATGATATATGTATACTTACTTTTAAATATAATATCATATAATACAAATGTATCTAATTATCATAATGATCAATATAAATTGTAAATTCATCTCTAAGACTGTGTCTTCTTGAATATTTTAACAACTTTTGCCTATGATGTAAGGCTGACATAAATACCCTCTCCATGCTAATTAAAATAGCTCCTGTCTTCTTTGAATTTCCAAGCAAAATTGTTTTCTCCCAGATTTCTCCCCAATATATATTTATATTTTATTTACTACTGCCAAACCATTCATTTTACCAAGTCTCTGGTATTGTCTTTCTCAAAATTAACAAAATTTCACAAAATTAAAAATAGTCAAAGAAAGTAAAAATACCCATAAGTCTCCATTCCGGAGAAATTTGCTGTCCAAATGAGGCTAAGATCTTTTCCACTGTAAAGATTGTTAATGCCCTCAAAAGAGGTCATCAGAATATCTTTTACACTATCATTGTTGTAGTCTACAACCACTGGTGGTACCATTACACCTTTCTCAACACCTCTAAAACAGTGAACATAAATATTATAACCTCCAAAACAGTTCATATAAATATATTCTAAACTTAGTAACAGTGAACAGAAAAAATTATAACCTCTGAAACAGTGAAGAGAAAAATTATAACATCTAAAACTGTGAACAGAAATATATTCTAACCCAAAAACAGGTGAACACAAAGATTATAATCTCTAAAACAGTGAACAGAAAAATTATAACCTCTTCAACAAAGAACATAAATATTATAACCTCTAAAACAGTGAACATGAATATATTCTAACCTCAGTAACAGTGAACATTAATATATTCTTACCTCTAAAACAGTGAATATAAATATTATAACCTTTGAAACAGTGCATATAATGATATAAATACATTCTAACCTTAATAACAGTGAACAGAAATATAATATAACCTCAAGAACAGTGAACAGAAATATAATCTAACCTCAGGAACAGTGAACATAAATATAATCTAACTTCAAGAACAGTGAACCGAAATATATTCTAACATCTGAAAGAGTGAACAGAAATATAGTATAATCTCAAAACCAATTAACAGAAATATATTTCAACCACTTTAACGGTGAACAGAAAAACAATTTACCTCTAAAACAGTATACATATATAATTTTAAAATCTACACATATTAAACAATGTACACACCTAAAACAGTGAACAGAAAAATAATAAATACCTTTTAAACCGTTACAGATAATATATATACAGTAAAACTTCTATAATGTCAAACTTGTTCTCGATATGTCAAAGTAAAAACGAAAGTCCCATTTTTTTCCCGAAAATATCCTTTATAAAAGCCTAAAAGTTGAAATCATATGAGTCAAATTTTTTGATGTGTTGAAGTTTTATCGTGGTCAGTATAGAATGAATAGAGTACAATTTACCATGAGTTAGTCAAAGTCCTTCGCTTGTAAACTTCGATTGCTCAAAATTTTGTCATTAAATTGAGACCAATTCATAAGCTAAAGTACTGATATGTCAAAGTATTTACACAAGTCCCTTCAACTTCAACTTATTGAGTTCTACTGTATATCTAAAAATCTACACATATTAAAGAATATACACCCCTAAAACAGAGAACAAAAATATAAAACTATTACCAAAACAGTGATGAATATATAACCTATTTTTCATAACAGGTGTATGGAAATATAATCAACAACAATGCTACAGTATGTATTCTACAAACCTATAAATAACAAAAATGCCATTTTTATCCTTGTCCAGCCCTGTATATTCCTCTCCCTGACTTGGTCCACACACTTCAGCATCGTCCCCAAGTACATAGAGACAGAAATCTCTCACTGATATTCCCATTAAATCACCTAGACACGAAAAAAATGTATTTTAAGTTATATAGCCATATGCCCTTTTTATCGTAGAGATATACATAATTTTGAAGAGGGTTACCTAAAAATCAATCCTGTGAAGTTTGGTCAAAATCTACACAAAGGTTTAGAAGAAGGTATTTAAAAAATCTCTTTATAACAAAGAAAAACACAAAACAAAATAAGACTAAATCAAAAGCTCAGTTTTGAAGACTTTGTGGTACTCAATTGATTTTAAAATGCAGTTGGTACAAAAAATTTTAACATATAATCCCAGTATTATTTTATCAAATCCATGACAGAGTTGAAAATGGGCATGATGGTCATTAAACAAGTAATCCAAGTTGTAAAGCAACATCTTAAAGGTATCGTAAAACAGTAGATGGTTTAAAACACTTATTTGTAAGTGTAATGCTTTGGCAGATGCCAACAGCCAGGTGAGTAAAATATCTCTTATTTATGATTATTTATTGTGAATACAAAAGTCCCACTAAAACAATACCTGGCACAGTCTCTCCTCCGCTACCAATCAGTATGTAGGTGGCGCCACCTTCAACAGGTGTAAACATGACTGGACTCATGTATGTTTCTTTGCTATTGGGCATTTCCAGGTAACGTTTGCTAACTGGTTTACCAGTGGCCCCCGACAATACAACCAGTCGTCCTGGTGCTCGGTTATGATCCTTTAAGCAAGAAATATTGAAAGTAGATAATATGGAAAGTAATATTACAAAATATAACTTAAAGAGTAAAAAGCTGTAAGCTGCAAAAATTATTGTTTGAATCTTAAAAAAGAATACTTCCAAAATGCTTGTATGAAATAAATATTGTAATAAATTGCCTTAAAAGTTGATGGCACATGTACAAAATCATTGCAACAGGTAAACAGATAAAAGCCTACTAGCAGAATAATATTTTGTTCATGACTATTTTTGTTTCTTTTCTGTTTACATACAATATTCATGTCTGTTAAATAACATAGGCATCTTATGTTACAACTCATTCGAGAATCAACAATAAGATTATGGAAGCAATATTATTTTACTATTGATAAATTATTGTTTTATACAAATATATCATTAGACATAGCTTATTCCCTTCAAAGTGACTTTATAATATTGCCTATCCAAGTAAAATGTTCAGTACAGGTGAAAGTCAAAGGAACTTTTCATTTTTAGCATAATTGTCTTCAATTTTATAATCTGCTTAAAAAAAAAAACAAAGTCAACAACTGACTGAATCCATAGGAATTTCTATATAATTATATCTTTTGTAATAAAATGGTAACGTTCACTTGATAAAAAGGCATTTAAAATTATTAATAATTAGTCAATCACCATAATAATATTCAATCTTTTGGAATATATTGCCAATTCAGCTCAACTTGACAATGGAAAAATGAGCATAATGAGCAGGACCAGGTATACTTGCTCAAATTTACAAAAACTTTTCTACATTTTTTATTGTTTTGTGTCTCCTTTAAAAGTTGATGCCACTCTTAAAAGATTGTTTGTTTTCCATGTCTGACCATTACTTTTAGGGTTAAATTGGTAGGGTTGATAAAGCAATATAATTCATGCTAGTTATGGGACATGACCTAAAATTATGATCTTAAGTAAATATATAAGTTCTGCATTTCATAAAATAAATATACAGGCAAAGCATTAAGTTACCCAACTGTTATGCCAATGCCAACCCTGCGGCAGGTAGGAAAGCATCATTATTTTTCGAGTATTAAAGCTAAACACTTGCAAGCTTTATCACAGACCAATGAATCAATTAATCACAAACATAGCAAAGTGATCTTAAACTATTTAAGAATGATACATAAAATGGACATGAACTACTTACATCAGGTTGTTTTGTCATATCTCCGCCGTTAGCAATTAGGACTTCAGGGACACTATCATTGTCCCAGTCTGGTAATGCTGCAGCATGATAGGTGTTCCAGTATGCTTCAAACATCTCATCATCTTCACAAGTCCACAGTGTCTCACCTTACATGGTATAAAGATAATATCAATGTTATTGGAAACTCGGCAAATGTGGTTTTTCCAAGCCAAACCCCCTGAACAAACAAACTTTTACTGTTATAGCTTCACAGTGCACTACCGGTCACAACAGATTGGTCAACCTGTTGGGCTTATTTTTGAAGCTGTAACTATAAAAGTTTGATTGTACCCCTGGATTAGTCAGGAAAAACCAAAAACATTTTTTTATTCCGTAGTAATTCTATTTATAGATCCCTACTTTGACCTTTTATTTGAATAACAATAGATTTTACCACAAACATGAATATGTGCTATTTTGTTAACAGATATGTTGCGTTCTTATTGTATCCACTAATATGATAAAAACAATTAGATAGGTTAAGCCTCTATGCATAACAGATAGTATCATTCTAGCAAAGCTTGGTAGTAACCCTTTTTTTGGCATTCACCAAATCTCCTTTGAAGGTACAAATATCATTCAAAATCACCCACTAAACTAATCATAGCTTGCATTTCTGGTATTAAAAATATACAAGGAAATCCTTTAATTAAATTTTTTTAACATAAAATTTATATTTTTTTTTTTCAAAACTTGGTTATCAATATTTTCAACACTTTTGCTAGACTAAGTTTACAAATATCTGCTTAACCTGCATTTGCCAATTAATTTTGTATATCGTTTAAATCAGAACTTGGCATACTGAAATGGGATTGCTGCTGAAAATGTGAACAAAATAACAACTATCCCCGGTCACCCCTATTTGTATTTTTGTAAGTTTGCTTACATTTGATATTTTCCTTACGAAAATGAGCAAAGAACTACTACTGTTACTATTTGACAGTCTCTTTACAACAAGGGTTTCACCAATTTTCAATCACCAGATTTTCAAAATTTGAGAATTCAGATTTAAAAAGTTGCATTATATGTACATTAAATTTTGGGACCATCGTCGGAACCAATGTTACACATTCCGTATATACTACATTTAATATGAAACTGGTATACAGTAAATAGCCTGGTTTACCAAGGATGATCTCGGACAATATGACCCAACTTTATGATTTTCAACAAAATTCATTACAATCTTAGTTGAGGCCTTTCTTAAACTTGTCAGTATAGAAAATAATTACCTTTGTAAGGATCAAAAGCGGAAATCTGGCCAGTTCTGCCCGTCACAACACAGTCTTTCTTGCCGTCCTTGTTGATATCAAAATCTTCACAATTCATCGCAAACACCTCTGACCTTGTCTTCAAAGACCACAACTGTGAACCATTTATACCACTTACAGCTATGATATTACCCATGCATGGATAGTCTTCTCCTTAAAATATAAAATAATAAAAGCATGTACATGTTTTCTAAAGACATTCTTTGTTTAACCCATACCATGCTAAATATCATAAATGGACTGGTCTATTTTTTAATTCAGACAAAACCATTCATCATTTTTAGGAAAAATATATAAAGAAGTACTGACAGAATAGTGAACATCACAGACCATGATCAGACAGCGTAGATGTAAATTCAGTCACAGCCAGTGGGCTAAGGGTGAAGAACTAAGAAATCATGCCACATTTTTTATTTATTAAATTCTAAAACTGTAATTTGTGCAAGATAAGCTAGGAATAGCAAACACTTTCATGGACATTATAGGAACTTTTTTTTAAACATCAAATTCTGTGAGTCAAGATCATTTTGTTGTCATAGACATTTGAAAATAAAGAAATATACCTGTAGTTTTTAAAACTTACATTTTAATGAACTTTAAGGATGTTGATTCATTGCCATCAGAGGATACTTTATAAAAATTTCAACATAATTTACTTTTAATGTAAACAATTATAACTATGATATCTTACTTAACCAAATAATAAACAACATCCTATATGATTTTATTTGAAAGAATCATTTTCTACTTTACTTGTTACTTACCTCTAAGGTACAAATTATTATCTAAAAAAAATTCCCTATAAATCATAAATTAACAAAAATATTATGTAAGAATTTTCTCAATTTTCTTTAGACCCCAAAACTAGTCATAATTATTAACACCTGCGACTCAAACTAAACTATCAAAAAAGCTGATAAAAACTGATAGTAACTCTCATTATCCCTTACAATGTCAATTAATAAATAATTTTATTAACTACGGTGCTTCCTGTTCAAAGTACCTATTATAGATACTGTTACAAAGTGGCCGATGAACAAACAATTAACTTAAGCATTGCGTTTTAAAGAACAACTTTTTCTATTATTGAAACAGTCTGTTACTTCGGCTACCTCTGGGCTTCTCCTCTAATGACCGTTCACTATATATAAGGCCTTAAATGTCAACTAAAATATCCACATTATTTAAAGTATTTTAAAGATCTGTAATTGTATTACACATCAATTATAATACTTTATATTATTATTAATATCATTAATTCAAACTCACCTTTTGATTTACAAACTTTATGTAGAACATCGTATGTTTTAGCTTGTTCGCTTTGTTGGAATGGTTGACGTAGAGCAGCGGCACTTGCAAATATGATATCATCTATGCCATCATGATCAACGTCCAACAATCGCACACTTCCCTCGCCAGCTGATAAACATTAAACATTAATCACATGACATTTCTTTGTAATTAAGGTTATGTAAACATTATATTTTTCATTATATTACACATCTAGAGCTATCACTTAAGGAAATTCATTTAAAGCACCACCTTAGATACTTACTCCCAAATATGCAAGGCATTGGTTGAGAAACATAGGTTTATAAACGAAAGTGTAAAATCTATCTTAGCACCAGTGACCTTCAAGCATAATATTAATATTATAATATTAACAATAATAATAACTTTATTTTGAGAAGGTGACATATTAAGAGTACATAATAAACATACAACTTATTTCCAATATGGCCTTCTGTCTTTAAAATATTTACATATATATATAAACAGAAAACAGAAACAACAATAAACGGCAATATACACATATTTATGACACACACTCTTACAAAAATACATAGCATTTTCACAGAAAGAATTAACTTAGAAAACTAGTACTAAAGGATTTTTTAGTACTTTTAAACTGTATTTTTCATTAAATAATACTTTTATGTTGCACTCAAGCAAATTGTCCTCACATATGCTCAAGCTATATAAAAGGTTTGTTTACAATATCTTATTCATCGTTCTAAAATATGTAACAGTTTGTATAGAGGGGTATAATTATATGATCCTATACAATAATTAACCCAAGTATTTCCATCCCAAATAAAAAGGAAGCCTTCAGTGTTCATTAAAATATATGTATTGCTGTAAGAACTTTATATATAATAATACCTAAAATCTAAAAACATACATAAAACTGGGCACTCACCCATTTCTTTATAGGTAACAGTCCATCCTCCATCTTCCCCAATTGTAATCTGTTTGTCAATAGTCTCTTGTTGTGAAGTCTGGGGATTTATGACTTGAACTTCTGATTCTCTTCCAAAGTTTGAAAACAAAACACCAACAACAACCAGTGAAATCAAAACAACAGCAATAGTTACAGAAACAAGAACAATACGGCATCTCGATTCTTCACGTTCAACACGTTTTATTCTCGTTTCTGGACATAGATTTAGTTCTATTTCTCCCGATTTCTGGAAAAGGACTTTTTCGTCATCCGACAGAGAAAATTCATCACTATCACTCCCGCTTTGTTTTATTTCACGGTATCGTCCCCCTCGTTTTTTGCCTGTAAAAGGGAAAAAGTTAAACTGTTGTATGTTTTGTTTTAGTGACAAGTATATTATCGAGAATATTATATCTCAAATGAGATGTCCAGGTAAAAATATACTACTGTATGATTTTAACTAGAAAGAGACAACAAGAGAACGTCTTAATATTCCAAGATGATGTTACATGTAGCATGCTGTAAAGGCAGAGCTAATCAACAACTCAAGTCTGTTTCAAGATTTATCAATATAGCTTCGAAATATAATACTGGAACATGTTTCCTGTTCTGTTTTCCAAAATGAAAAAGAAGCTTAAATTAAAACGGTTAAGCTACATGGCCAGTGAGTACTTTTTTTAGGAAAATGTAAGGGAACACTAAAGATGTTTTTTATGAAATAAAAATAACAGGATTTTTTTGAAAATGGGCCTTTAACTAAGAATGCTGGGTGTGATACAAAGCTTGACTTTCACAGTTAGATTTTAATAAGTCTAAATATAAATGGCTGTTAGTTTAAACAATATTTTATTTATAATCCACACATTTACATAATAAAGTACATAAATAAAATTAAATATTAAAGTACATAAAATAAAATGGCTGTTATATCTAATGAAATCATTTGAAGTAACAATGGGCAATTTTATAATAATGTAAATAAATGATGTACATTTTATTAGGCCCACAGTGTAGACAGCCTTTGTTGCAACTGTGTTGCCTCTTTAAATAAAGACTTAATTATTATAATCATTTCGTCCATTCAGAAATAAGGTTTAAAACTATTAATGATGAAGCTGAGCCAAACAATACTCTTGCTCTTCATTAAAATTTAAAAAAAAAATATTTAAAGAATATATTTATTACATATCAAAGGTCTGTGGACAAGAATAGGCATGTCTTTTTTCTGTTTTCAATAAATATTCTAAGGTAAAGAAATATCATCCAGTAATTATAAACCTGCTAGCACTATAATTTTAATACTCTATAAGTCTTTCACCCAATAGTGAATAACTTTATAGGAGATAGGTCTTTATTATGAATATGTTATCATAAGTCTTGTACAAATATAAACAAAGGATCTAAAACGCCACACACTTATATCCACTCAAAACTCAATCGTTATCTATTTTAAATTGTGTATATAGATAAAATATTGTGTGTTGTTGAATTTTCTTCAGTGAAGAACAAATTTAATGCACATCATTTTTGATCTTTTGACAACATAGATTTGAAGATGTCATTATAAATTGTCAACATACTTTTCTATTACAAATTACTGTGCCTACACTGTTTTATCGCACAAAAATTTGTTAAAACACTTTTGCCAAAAGACAGGTATACCTTTACCTGCTGAATTTATATAATTGACTCACCCAGCTTTGTATTTGGAACAGTCCATTTAAAGTTGATGGGATTTCAATATACAGAAATTGAACTAACAACAGCATAGAGGCTGGCCACTAACACTTGAACTTAACATCTATAATATTAGTTGTAAATAGTGATAGATTTCATGTTTCTAATATACTTATCTTGAAAATCATAATACACCAAAACATTAGGCCACGCTGTCTTGAGATTTAGAAATTTTTTTCTATCTCCCAATAATGTCCAAACCCTCGAGGGGCATAGACATGTTCACTGGGACGTAGACATGGAATTATTTTTGATAGAAATAAAACTCAAAATAGGTTTTAGATTACCATACAGTGCTCTGAAATGTTTGTGATTTATTATTCGGCTTATATTATGTTTTATGTGCTTTGACAATATTTTAACTTGCCTGATATTTTGTAAACTAAAATGACCATTCATGCTGAATGTTATTTTTTAGCCATTTAATTTTTCAAAATTAATTATTATGTCACTCAATTCAGTTCTGCAAAACTTTAAGTTCTCATCCAGTTAAGTTCAATTAATTGTACAATGCGTATAGAGATATTTTGTGTGTGTAGGCAGGAAGATTCTAACACAGAATAAAACTATCTCGGAATCTAGTAAAAGTATTTTGAGTCTTACATGTAGCTAAGCAAACATAATTTTGACGGCTGACCTTAGCCTGGGTCGTTTACTTTTGGCTCTAGCAATAATACTAATGGTTCATGTTAACCAAAATTTTGCAGTGTATTAACCCTTTCCCTCATGAGCATATTGTGAAAAATGGCCGTTTCCATTGAAGAGCCTATTGTTACATGTTCAAACTGCTATGAAACTATGAAAAATGCTTCCATACTAATCAAACTTGGCACAATTGTTGACTGGACTGTTGCCTTTCTAACGACATGCTCAGTCTTAAATTTCCTGTTACCATGGCAACAAGGGGACATCTTAAAATTGCCAAAAATCACTATTTTGCCTTGTTTTTTTCCATCAAAATTTATTTCAAAGGGCTGCAACTTCTCAAGGAATTGAGATACATTGTAGAGTCAAAGGCTTTACAGCGTTGGGTTACACGTTACCGTAGGATCGACCTGGGGTCATTTTTAGCCTCTCACAAGTCCAAAATTTTCTTGGCGATGAGGGGGACTGCCGCCCCCCCTTCAAAACCCCCAAACAGAAGGGGACACTCCCTTCTGGCAACCCCCTGATGTATCTTTTGGATGGGGGGCCGTGCCGAAAAAGTGCTCACTTTTTTAGCAACATTTCTCAAACTAAAACATGTGTTTGGGGCCCAAATAGGAATTTTTTTCACTATTTGAGGCCTAAAAGAGGGGGGGGGGTGGAAAGTGCGTTGTTTCGGGTATATATGAGGTAAAGGTTTAATATCTCATATTAATTAATTGTACTGAATACTTTTTAAAACTGTTCTAATGTGTTTTTCTTTTCTATTATAACAGGGAAAACAGGTGTTTCAAAATAGAATTCTTTGGTTATAATAAATGTTTATGAAACTATTTCACCTGTCATGTTTATCTATTGACTAATAGATGATAAAATTTGAAGTTAGATTAAAACAAAAGTATTTTGTTTTGTTGTGATTTAATTTTTTGCTTAGAAAGAGTTTATGTGATCTTATGTAAGAAAAACAAAAGTCTTTGCATTTTTTTTATAGAAGTTTGATTAAAATTTTCAAAACTTCTGCGTTTCTTAATACTAAAAATAAAATATTTATCGCGAAAATAGATGACAAAAACTTACCTGTACCAAATAAAGAAGGCATCGTGGTGAATTAAACAGGGTGTTGTGATATTTAAAAACTCCTAAGTATCTAAATTCCCAAAATAAACAGCCCAGTATCCATGCTGATTTTATTTAAGTGAGTTAAACTTTGTTTACAAGACTTGTTTAGATTTCCTTCTGATCAAATCGCTCACTTCCCGGTTGACCCAACAAGGGAGAAAACTGTGATTACTGTACAGTAGGCTATCGAAAAATAGTTACATTGAAAACTGACGGTCGAGCTTTTATATTATCTTTTAGCCTATGTAGCAACTTTATTATATTCTGCTGACTAGCTGGCTTTATACTGTGCTCAAATAAATTAGAAATAATAGCTGATTTATATTTTTTTTAAATTAATTGTAATGGTTAAAGGCCCATGCATGTCATTGGCCATTTCCCTATACTGTACCATCATTTGCTGACCTGCTAGTGTTATATGGCAATTAGTACCGTTATTATACTGATTTTTAATATTTTGTATCGAAGTCAAAATTCTACTTTGTTTACATTGTCAATACAAATGATTTTGCATTCTAGTACTACGTACTTTCTTCAGTTGATTAGCATCTAACATGTTCTAAAACCATTTCTAATAAATGTAAAACACATGTGTACCTTATCTTAGGAAGGAAAGAAATATTCGTTTCTGAGACATCATGTGCCTTTAATGTATTGAAAACAAAGTAAATTAAAGATAAAAAAAGTAAGTAGCTTTAACGTTAAATTCCACATGCTTTTTTATTATGGGTGATTATTTTAAGCACAGAAAATTAAAAATCTACGTTACAAGCTTCAAATGTTTTGAATCGGAACAACAATTGTTCACTTAAGTATGATTTAGAAGAAGACCGATTGTTTTTGCTCCAATTATTAGTGGTATACATTTCACTTGATATGCACTGTAGATTTATTTAAGTAGAAATATTTAAAAAAAGCTTTGTATTTCTGATATGCATATAACGATTTAAAAAGATATGGCCAAGGTCATTCCGCTTAAAAACAATTTATTTTTGCAGAGAAAATCGGTTTGCACTGTAGCCTTTGTTTCCTGTAAGACCTAAGGAAACATGGAATTTAACTTGGAATGTTTGATTGCATTACATAATTATATTATTAGTTATATTTTTTAATTTTTATACAAACTCGTCTAGATTTAGAACCAAAATTTAAGCATTAAGGTAGAACGCAACACTTTGCGAACTTTTGAGTAGCGTCTTGAACAAAAATTGCCAATATTCAAGACGTGACGCTACTCGAAAGTTCGCAAAGTATCGCGTTCTACCTTAATTTAAAAGTTGATACAAATCAAATTTTGTGGAAATGACCGAAAATTGGAAAGCGTTAAAACGCTTTTCACTCAAATCGGGCTTAGCCCACAAGTATGATTTTTAATCTATTTATTTTTAAATTTCTTTATCACACACCCGTGCCGATTTTGCGACTCCGTAAATATGGTATTGCACGGCCGTGCATATATTTTGACGTGACGTCATTAGCGTTATACAAACATAGTGTAAAGACGCGCTAAATGTTAGCGTTATATAGAGGATATTGAATGAGTGTAAGTTCAATACTGAATTTATTGCACGAGTTGAATAAAATTATATTATGCGAGCCTCTGGCGAGCATAATATTATTTTATTCAACGAGTGCAATAAATTCAGTAATGAACTTACACGAATTTAATATTCTATTTATCACATACCCAAAATAAAGACCGTTTAAAGTGAAATAAGAGTCATTTTCCGTTGACGCGCCTACAGTAGAACGCTAACATAAAGCGCGTCTTTACACTATGTTTGCATAACGCTAATGACGTCACGTCAAAATATATGCACGGCCGTGCAATACCATATTTACGGAGTCGCAAAATCGGCACGGGTGTGTGATAAACTATTAATAGGCGCGTCAATAAAAAACGACTCTTATTTCACTTTAAACGGTCTTGATTTTGAGTAAGTGATAATTAAATAGAATATTAAATTCGTGTAAGTTCATTACTGACTTTATTGCACTCGTTGAATAAAATAATATTAGACTCGCCAGAGGCTCGCATAATATAATTTTATTCAACTCGTGCAATAAATTCAGTATTGAACTTACACTCATTCAATATCCTCTATTTATTATCATTTGCGTATCTTTCTGCATTAAGCGCTTTTAAAAGGTTATCCATGTCAGAAATTCATTTTCTTTTTGCTTTTAGGCCTTTGGATCCTTTAAGCTCGGGTTTGAAGGAAGTATAATTTCTAGAATAAAATTCCGCAGCTTTAAATACATAATTTATTCTTTTATTCAAATTAGACAATTCAGTTAGTATTTCATAAATTTCAATAAATTTCTGTGATAAAAATATTTTACTCTGGGATGAGCATAGTATATCTTTAAGAGTGTAGCAGTAATTGCAAAGAATATCCATGCGTGGTCACACACGAACATTACCAATGATGATTTATTATTTTATTTTCATTCATTCGGTGTTCTAATGGTATTTATGTACAAATCTCAAGCTTTTTAGACTTATCATTTCAACATGAAACATATTCTGATAAGAATTCCACTAGATAAATCGTTTGTTTATTAAGTTGCCGCAGTATATATTTTGCACTTCTGCCAGCAATTTTCCCGGGCTATAGAACGAAGCTCTAAAATCAATACAGGCTGACGTCTTACAATACAGCATATTGTATAATATGTCATGCATTATCGATACATATTTGTGATACTTCCTGTGCAATGAAAGTATTGGATATATCTAATTACAATTGTATTTTGTGTCTGTATATATCTAAAAGTATATGCAAAGCATAATAAAGGCATTTTGCTTGTATAGTGATCAATAAAGCAAAGTTTGGTGAGAAAAGAGAGCAAAACCGGGACAATATAAGCAGGTTTTTCGTTTTATTTGTTTACAAAATATGTACATTTTGAATAGTATTGATATTAAAATTTGTATGTGATAATTATAAGATAATTATTGGAATAATTATGACTAGTCACTTCATTATTTGCGTAGTACTCGTGTATAGAATTTATATATGTTCACGTATCGATTTCTTTAAAAGCAGATGTGTAATAATCGTACAATTGAATTGATAATAATGAGATAATTTATTACATATATTACTTCTTTATTAAATACAATTAAGTTATTTACTCCTTTTATAAATGAATTATTCACCACTTATCGATTTTCAATTAATCATTCGGAAACGAATGAATAGAGATATGAAACTAAAATGACGTGTCTGTGGCGTGATTATATTAATAGAAGTCTCATATATTTCTCTTTCTTGAAATATCTACTTCGCAGAGGAGAAGCGTATAACACTGTAATGGAACTCTCAAGTCAGTTAGATAGGTAAATAGGTAGGAAGGTATAGTTGGGTATTTATGTAGGGTAGAGTAGGTCGGTCGGTCGGTAGGTTCTTATGTTGAGTAGGGTAGGTATGTAAAGGTTCTGATCGTAGGGTGGTGAAAAGGTAGGGTTAGGGTAGGGACCGCTTTCAAAGACTGGATAAATATATATTAATTACTTTTTCAGGATACTCAGTTCTTCTAACTTTTAGTTTGTTCTTTTACTTACTAGTTAAAATATGAATGGTACAATATTTGTCTCATATATTATGTTAGCAGAACTGAAATGTTTGCGTTATTAATGTTGGTTAATATATAATTACTATTAAATAAATTCGTTTTTTTTGTTATAGATTTCAAAAATCCTAATATATGTTAATTACTTTTGAAACACTATTCCATTTTACTTTTGTAGGAAAGATTGTTAAGAATCGTCGAAGACAAAAGTATGTCTGGATACCATGCTAAGTTGGACGACAAAAGATTTACTAACTGGATAAAGACATGTATTGCCATCGATATATTTAGAGCATATGTAGAGACTTTTGTTTACAAGGAAATAGAAAAGTTTCATTCAAGTATCCTTGAAACAATAGCAAATGAAAATAAAACGAAAAGTAATATTTATTGCTCCGAATGCAGAACTGCCAATGTATTGGATTGCAAAACGAATAACTTTTGCACCTTTAAGCATGGGAAATGTAGTAACCACTTTCCACCAGAACATACATCTCGTTCTTGCCCGAAAAACATCTGTAACCGTATCAAATATTTTATTCTAAAATGTCACGATTTTAATAGTCCTACATGGCAAAACACCAGTGCAGAGAAATGGTGTTATAGTGCATGGGAGTTAGCAAAGTGTTATATGCCTAAAGGTGGGTATTTTGAAAAACAAAGTCCCGCCGAAACCGATTTAAATGGAATCATAAGCGTTATGTTGAACAACTCTAATATTTCAGGGACTATCGACAAATCAAATTGCGAAGAGGTAATTATCTTTTCTTTTTTCCTTTGAAGACTTTGCTAATTTCATTGAAAACATCACATCCAAAACTACATATATTACATGAAGGTTTGACACACACTACATTACAATATAGAAAACATGGGACTGACTTATTAATGACGCTAACTTTGCTTATTTGATACATTGAAAGCGTTGTCCTGTTAAATTATACCCGGCATCTAACAGCTGTTTATTCATAAGGAATATATTTAATTCTTAAGGTGACAACGGAGTCAATTATCACTGAAAATACCTTAAATGAGATTTTTTGCTTAGTAGATTTATCAACCTTTGCTGAACACATTCGTGATTTAATTTTGGAAGCAGTTAGTCCAAAAAATGTTTTTTAACGTTTTAAAACGGTACCTGTACCATTTTTATCCGCTATTCGCGTAACCTGTCAATTATCGATAACGCTCCGCCCCCTGTTGAGGCATCAATGAGGGAAATCGGTAGTTCCATATATGCGTGAATTACCGGTCCATACTGGTCCATACTACTCGTATTTGTTTAAATTCATGTATCGTTACAAATACCGTACATCTTTTATGAATATCGTCTTTTATTTAGCCTTTTTTATAAAATAAGAAATTGTCGGCCAATGTACGTAACATAATGTATGAAACATGAATAATTAAGCATAGCGGCAAATCGCACGACCACGGGGTTGATTTAAAATATAGTTGCTAAAATATCCATAATGTGTGAAAATAATTTGTCTGTCCCGTTAATCTGATTGATATTACATTGAGTTTATGGACTTTTGTACGGATTCAAGGGCTTGCTTTACATTAATTTCAACCTCGTTTTTTAACACTGTCAAGTAAAACAGCAACAAAAACAGACAACATTTTTTATGTGAACGCCTATATGACTTGTGGTAAGGTGTCCCTGACAAATTTCTAAACCATTTTAGGTTGTCTAAGGATGATTATTTCTCCATGAATCAATAAAAAAAGATAATAAAATATATTATCAGTGAATGCTTTGAATAAATTGTTCCCCAGTAAATTGAACACAGTACTAATAAACCTGGGACAAAGTATGGATTTTATTGTATATCCCAGTAGAAACTGGATATCTATGCCGTGCATAGATGATACGTGTATTCATGATAATAGAAGTCAAGAAGGTCAGATCATAATGATCGAGTGATACCTTTTATTTCTATTAAAATATGTGAAGCATTCATATCAATTTGGAGGAAAAAATATATAATATCCCGTTCTAATTTGAACATCTACCATGGACTTTAAAAGACCGTCAGAAGCTCAGGTTTTTGTTAATTTAATTTATATTTTAAAGGAATTTCATACACGAATACACAGACAGAGTGACACTGGTATAATATAATAATAATGCTGATGATAATAATAATAAACTTCAAAAGTGAAACAATTAAATACCCCGCTAGCGGTGCGAAAATACGTTCCATTTCCCCCCACCGAGTGCCTCAAATTTTACCGAAAGTCACGTGACATGTGCGACAGATACCAGACGGACAATAAATCACATTAAGATTTGAAGAAATTTCTGTTATAAACTGATATTAATCAGCAAGTTTTTAATTGGTCAGATGTCACTTGGTCATAAAATGTTGTTAGAGTATGTTACCGCAACTTGTGACCCTCTCTGGTGCGATATTTGTGTATTATGCAATTATTTAGCGTGAAACGTAGGGGTCCGAGAGAGAGCAGCCGATTTATGACACTTCGTTTGATGCAGGTCGGACTAACTTTGAATCGGCATAACTTTTTTAATAATCAAGCAATTAACATGCGGTTTAAAGCACATGAAAGGGAATTCATTTACGGAGGGAACCGTGTCAGGGATTTTTGTTTGCTCAATCAGCGACTTAATTATCTTTAATTACGTAATATGTATGGTGAAAAAAGTCGCATAAAATGTTTGACGTTACGTAATATTTTTTTTGAGAAAAGATAGAAAAAATTTGAGACACGGTTCCCCAGATAATATAAATAAGGTTATTTTCCCAAAGTTTGATGACAAAAAAATAAAAAATGACTTTGATATGACGATTTAAAATTTTAGGATTTTTATTCAAAATCAATCATTTACAAAGGCATTTTTTTCAAATATGTTATTTTTTGTGATGATCAACGACATTTAATGCACAAAGATTAAATAAATAACAATTGTTACTAAAATAAGTTGGTTTAAATGACATTTATGTGAGTACCACGGAAAGTGTCTGTTGTCACCTTAACGAAACTTACAGATAAACTTTAATACCACTGCATGCGTTATGTTGGATTCTTTGGGACTAAAAAGTCTCCTTGACAACTGGTTGTTTGCTTTCTATAAGAAGTACAATAGTACCAAGCGTTGTGATTAAAATATGGCGTTTCTAATAATTCAGAAAATTGCTATAGTATCGTTGGCCCGTAAAAATATTCTCCATAAAAGGCCGTTTTGTCATGCCTATACTTGTATATAGCGATTTTGAATTATGGCTATAAAACCTGTGCAATCTCAATCATTTTACACATTCTTTGTACAGTTTGTTAATTGTGATACTAATTGTGAATGTAGAATAATTAAATAAGCTATGCTTCCAGTGTATTGTTACATAAAAATCAAAATATCTGTTAAGTACAGTCCTCATCACATGATGCTTAGATTGGCCATTCAGATGTCAAAACCTTCCTGGCTTCCGTTGTTTCAACTTAGACAATATACATTACATATATATGTTGTACTTATAGACATGTTGACCACTACAAGTATGGAGAGAAAGAAAAAGACAGAAGTTTATACAGTTGAAATACTTTATTATTTAAAATATCAGTCAACTGCAATAGATGATTTATCAATATATATAAAGTGTTTGTTTTCCAGTTGATTATGTTATAATACTATATATATTATAAATATAAAGAATAAAAACATGTCATAATTTCAGATACGTGGATATTGTAACTCACTTCGGCATACATCAAATTTTTATGTGGTTGACCAAAAGTTAGCTATGTTCCTCGACATGCTCGTTTCGTTTTTGGAAAATTCACCAGCATTTCACAACGACAAGAAAGCTAAAGAAGCTATCAAAGAAATCAAGGAGGTAAGTCAAAATTTAATAAAGTTAGACACGTGAAGGTAAGGAGCGGTAGCCCGACGGGGAACATAGCAAACTCAAGGTTACAAAGCAATGTGAATTAAACTCTGAGATATATACAGTCATGATTCCCGTTGGGCGCCAAATGTCACAGGGTGAGAAAAATTGTGCAGCCTTCATGACCTGGACTCAAACCCGGGGCCCTCGGAATACCGTTTCGCGGTTCTACCGACTGAGCTATCCAACCGTTACACACCTTCTCCGCTAAATATAAAATAGTTAACCGTGTTGCTTGCATTAGTGACAAAAGAGCTAATTATTACGACTGTCTTTATCTTGCAAGGTTAGAGCAGAGGAGTTTAAAATAACTGTTCCTGATGTCACACGAGTGATACAAAAATCAATCCAAGAAGAACGGATCCAGTGTTCTAAAGATATAGCTAAAGAATCAAAAGATTACATAGAGGAATTGCAGAAACTAAGAAGTGAGATTGAAACCATTGCAACTAAAAGTATCAACGAAATCATTTCTGAAAAACACAAAGCCATCGAAAAGATAACAAGTACAGCATCTTTACAAGTATCAGCTGGAAAAGACGAAATTGTAAAAGCTACAAAAGATGCACGTACTGAGATAGAATCTTTTGTGAAAGGAACTAATACACAACTAAGAGAACGTATGTTACTTTTCCATTCTGAACTACATTTAAAATAAACTATTTCATTCCGTACTATTGTTATATTATACATTATTTGCGAATAAATTCGGTGTAGGAAATTTAAATATTAAGCTTTATAAACAAAAGTATTTTTGACATCTTGTATGCTTCGTAATTTAAGTTTATGTGTTTTTCTTTTGTCAATTCTCTAATTTTTTCTTTTCAGGGCTTAGAAAAGACCTTCTTGATTGGAACAAATCTAAACATAACGAAATCCCAATCACTCCGTTATTCGACGATACCGAAGTGCCAATCACAGACTTTTATGTCCGTCCGCAACTAGTTTCTGTTGAAAGACAAAGTTACGGATCGGTTTGGAAAAGAAATGAGAATACCCACCAATTCATTACGCGACGTTTTTTATAAACACGAAATAAGACATAATGAAATTTATCTTACATCAGATGCAGGATTTGGAAAATCTTCTTTAAGCAAATATTTAGTAATGGCATGGTGGTACGCTTTGACACCAGATTCTGACCCGTCGAGTCAGTATTTTTCCGAAGAAGATAAGAAGGTTATGGAAGTGTTTGACTATGCATTTCTGATCAACCTGCGTGAACTAGCTTATGAATGTGATGTTGACAAAATAATATTTAAACATATCATTTGCGATTTATCTCATTCTTCAGAATATTCTCTCTCATTTCTTCAAAATATTCTCCATGATGAAAACTGCTTGATAATTCTTGATGGTTTAGATGAATGGTCACATCCCACGGGTACAGAATGCAATAAAATGTGTGACGATATACCCCACAGGAAAGCAAGACAAGCATGTACAGTCGTGACCACTTCTAGGCCCTGGAAGCTTAGCGCAATAAAAGTCAGAACAAGTCAGATAGACAAACATGTTGAACTATGTGCACTTACCAAAGATCAAATAATCTGTCTCAAGAAAATGTCTGTAACAAAACTTATAGGTAGGAACGGTGAAATAAGCAACATAATCGAGGCATTAAATGCTGAAATTAAAGAAAGAGAACTAGAAAATCTTGAATCAAACCCAATGCTACTTATGTACTTAGTTTGTTTAAAAACTGAAGGGAAACCACTTGGAAAATCAAAATCTGAGCTTTACACACAGATCATTGAGCTTCTGCTGGTGCGTGCTATACAAAAAACAGAAAGAAATTCGAGCAATGATATGAATATTGAAAATTTGACAAAGGGTGATCTAGATCAAGAAAATATTCCCCTTTGTTTAAGAGAACACGAGTTACCTCTACGATACTATCACCTTTTAAAGCAGCTTGGGCATTTGGCATTTACGACATTATTTGACGATTGCAAATCAAATACACTGGTATTTGATAAAAAGAAAGCCAGTGGTTGCTTGTCTAAAGATTTCTTACACGCGAGCCTTTTTTCCGGCATGTTGACGGAAAGTAAAATTATGGGTTCCTTATTGATAAAACAAAGTAATGTATCATTTTGCCATAAGACCATTCAAGAGTATTTTGCTGCCATTTACATGCACATGACGCGAGATGAAGATTTTACTGTAAAAACAACGCTGAAATTTTGTAATTCGGTTAATCGCTTACTTGAAATGGAGAAAGTGTTTATCTTCTTGTGTGGCTGTAGCTATGAAACTTTTGAACGTTTCTTAAATGAGTTGTGGACAGTAGTGGAAACTGATAAAAGTGCTATAGAATACAGACACGGTTGTATAAGCAGTACTTCTAACTACAATATGAAAATAAAACCAATGAAAGATCTTCAATCAATGTATATCAGCTGTCTAAAAGAAATGGAAATGCAAAACGATGGGAGTAAAAGTCAAAACATTGGAAAATTAAAACTATATCTACATGACATATTTATTGACGAAGATTGCAAAGACAATAAATACATGTTATACTTGAAGAGTATGAAGGAAATGAATGAAGGTAAAATGAAATCATTTAGTATTAGAATTGAAGGCTTTTCAAATTTTGGTGATATTGAGGAGAAATTTCAACTCGAAAAGGAAACCTCTCTGGAAAAAATTAACTTTAGGGGAGAATGTTGCAGTAATGATATTCAAAAGTTGCTATGTAGTTCGGCAAATAGTTTAAAATGTGTAGAGATATTGTCAAGTATATGGACTGACAATAGATTTGTACCAACATACACCATATGGACTGATGCAATAACCAATACCTTTCAAAGGATGCATAACCTAGAAGCGCTGCATCTTTATGCTTTCCAAATGTCTCACACGCAGCTGAAGGAAATGATTTCTTTCATAGAACAGCATATTATAATGAAAGATATTGCAATTTTGAACCTAAAATGCGCCGATCACGACTTGTGTAGCGGCTGTCAACTGGATCTATCTGGACATAGGAAATTGCGGCTATTGTCTATAGACAACTTACCGTTGTCCAAGCTTTCAATCAATGTGTCTGAACTAGAAGATTGTGTTCTTGGAAAGATTTCAAATTCAAGCGTCCTGACATCATTCCTTACGGCATTGAAATCTGCAATTAGGGTGCAAGGCTTAACTTGCAGACATATAAGTTCCACGGATGAAATTGATAAAATGATTGAAACAATAAGTTCTATGCCAAACCTCAGTTTTATACGATTGTTATATTCTGATCTCGGTGAAAGACAAGTCTTTTTGTCAAACAAAATGTCCTCTCTTCAGCTGGTACGCTTTGTTGAAGTTATTGTGAAATGTTGTGTACTGTGTGACATTGTAATGGTTATCAAATCATTTCCTAAGCCCGTTACCATTGAGTTATCAAAGTGTACTGTATATACTGAGACTGAATTTGATGCGTTTAAAACAGAAATTAAAAAAGATAGTAAGATTTTATTTGTACATGAAGGCAGTGGATGTGAGTTAACATTTAAGACCTACGGAAATCAAAAGTTGTGAAGAAATGTCAAGATAGATATACTGAATGTCGAATATGGCTGAATTTTATATACATGAACCAAACAACTTAATTTCATTCACCAACGTTATAGTAACAATACTTAAAACAAGAATATGCCTCTATTATCTGGCGAGAAAATCTCATAAGATAAAAAAGTGTGATTTCACTAGCAATAACCAAGGGCAATAATGAACGCAAAATGAAAAGCCTGCCACATTTTTACAGTAGCGTCTCTTGGAACAGTCGTGATGGCCAAGCCATGAATGTGATATACATGAATGGGAAAAGATTTTCTTTTAACTGTAGAATGATAGAAACAAATTCGTAAGGAATATCTCTTTTTCTGCGATTTCTGCAATCACGCTAGCAGGTCGTTGACATTTCTTGGCTTCTTCGGGATCATTGATTCAAAAAAACAAAAGCTTAGTTTAAACATATTTTATTGCATCAAATACATGCCAAATATTATACAAGTGGTGAGTTTATAACAAAAAGGCAACAATTTTGGAAAAGATTTTCTTATGATTTGATATCTTTCGTTCTAATCCATTTCAGATGAATCATGTATTGTGTATGTTCTGGAATAAAATATATTAAAACTAAAACAATTTTAGATAAAAAAAGAATACTGCTTATGACGGGTATAAGGTTATGATGTATAAGCACTTTCCGTTATCTCTTAAGAAAATTTCAACCAAACCTATACTGTAATTGTCACTTACAGCTATCATGTAGAGTCAAGCACCATTTTCTATAATTTTCACTTAGCCGGTAAATTATTTTATGGTGCAAAAAGTCAACAGAACTTAACATTGGTTCAACCCAAGTGCTTGACAATTAATTGCGTTGTTGCCTATCCTTTTGGGTTGTTGTATCTCTTTAACAAACTTTATAAACAAGAAATGCATTTGCTTAAAGTATAAAGATATTTGTTTTGTTCAGACGTTTTTATTTATTTAAAGCTGCATGCCCCCAGATGAGTAAAAATATTTCAACAAAATAAAATTTGAAAAAAACAAAAAAGTTTCAGTTGATACTTAACATGTACGATACCTTTTTGTTCAAGGAAATGATTCGAAAGTGTTGCTATAAGCTTAAAGCTTCAACCACAATCGAACTTATAAAATTTCAAACAATCCTGATGTACTCTTCTCCTGTTTTACTTTCTGTATTAAATGAATTATGTATAAATTATAAACTACTAATCTAAAGTTGAACATTGAGATGAAGATGAAGGTGAAAGCTTTAGCATTCAATGGTGTTTTAATGTTATGATATGATATGCAAAAATACACATAACAATTACGTTTCAATGTAAATTTGCACTTAAAATAATCCCTCAGTGAAAATTGATTTATCAAAATTTAATACCTTACACTTAAGTGAATTGAAACTACAGACCACAGAAGAATAAGCCCTGCCCATTCTCGCATCACAGGTGAAATGAATGTGAAGATTTATGTTTTCAAGCCAAAAAAAAGCGAGGAAAAAAACAATATTTAAACAATATAAAAAAATAAGTAAACAAACAAGATTTCTAAATACGCATTTCGCGAGAACTTGATTACAAATAAGTAGGTTATGCGCAATTTCTTAAATAATATGTAAAGTTACTTCCAGATTCATTGAAATCACCAGGTAAAGTGCGGGGTGTGCTTGTCTGCATTGAACACCAACCACCTGTGTCATATGTTGGGCTGTGATTGCATCCACGGCATGTGTCCGTATTAGTACACCACGTGATACAGTCACGCGCTGTTTTCTGGTTGGATACGTCTATACTTTCGCCTTGAAAGTAATGTCCTGGATGGGCTATATAGGTTGACCCGTACACAGTACAGTCTACAACATAAGAGGCAAATGTGCTATCAGAAAATAAGAACCAAATAACTTTGATACAAAACTCATCCATCCTGTTAAATGCTTTATTCGCATTCAAAAATTTAGAAATGTTTTGCAGGGCCTCATTTCAGTTAAGATAATTTCTGATTCCATTTGTTAATGATTAAATACGATAAAAATGAAAGTGATCAAAAGTAAATTTGGTTGATTAGTTATAATTTGATAACGAAGTCTTCAAATAATGTATTTTCGTTAAGAGAATTTCATATGTTTGTTTGTTTGAATGCGGTTTACGTCACACCGACACAGTAACGTCATATATAGCAACGTACTAGCTTTCCTGGTGAAGGAAGACCTCATGTGCCCTTCCTTACAATATTTGAGGCACGAACGGGCACCTGACTAGAATCGCCGACGTTCCGTAAGCTATCTGGATAGCTTCATCACATAAAAGAATCCAAAGTCCCTGTCGCGAATCCAACCCACAGCTATGAGGGGCAAGTGGTTTGAAGTAAACGACCTTAACCACTCGGTCACGATCATTTTATGTTTAGATAGATTGTATAATTTTGAGATAAAGTTTAAACCTTCAGGGCACGTCTTATAGAAATAAAGATATATATTATTAATATTTAACTATATAAATTTTACAATTAACTATTTAACAAAACTCTGCTTGGTATAAAAACTGCTCACTTGGTGTGCAAAATCCTGTAACTGGATCAAAACTGTATTCAGGGAGACAATTGCAGAAGCCGTCGATACAATAAGTGAACTCCTCGATGCAATTGGCGTTTGATTGACATTCATCACCTTTCCTGAGATAGTCAGGCAAGTTCTCTGTCATCGATATAGACACTGATGAGGGAATAAATAAATGTGTAAAATATTTGTTAGATCCGATTTATTCAGGAAATACAATACTGTCTGTGTTTTTTTGTAATTTTGTTGAGCACTCGCTCAAGTTGTTTAAAGAGATATTCAGGCAAAATAATGACAAAAATATTAAAATGGTCTTATGTACTCAAATCACGCTAAAATGACATTTCTTGAAGTTTCAGCATGAATTTCTGTTTAAATTCTAAATATTTTGGGTTTGAAGCGTAAATATATCTAAAGATATATGTTGAACAAAATTTAGACCCGAATAGAATCACCAAATAGTTTTAAAACAAGTCACATGACTTGAACAAACCCTTGAAGTTACAATAACAGATATTATGGATATTGTATGATTGAAACAAGTCTAAGTCATTCATTTGACATGTTCTTTAACGTTTCCAGAGTTCACTTGACAACTATTGTGAAACCCTAACGCTCTAACCTGACCCACGCGGGTCAAGTTAGGAAACCACCATTTTATTCTTTATATGGAGAAAAGTTTTGTTCCTTTGACTGTCTAATATATTCATGTTGAGGGCATTTACAGAATAATTACTGAAAAACTCAAAACTAAGAAATGAAAATTTTGCCTGTGTCTCCCTTTAAATGTTAACTCTACAAAGAATCCAAATGAAAACTTGCATGTTTCATGTCATATAGGAACGTTATTTATGTCTTAATATCATACAAATTCTGTTACAAATCTGTAAAGAATGACCATAATATTACGGAAACAAAACATTTTACCGTAATAAATTTGAAATCATTAAGTTATTATACTCTTTATAGTAAGTTAAATTGAAACTTTATGACTTTATGTCATAATTCAAATTGTCGCTCTTTCGTTTTCGTTGCTTTTCACGGTCTGTCGTTTCTCCTTTGGTTGAACAGTTTTTGTTATCAAACTTTGTATCATATATTAAAACGTTTGCTACGATTATTTTCTATATGAAAGCGAATTTGAAGTTTTTAGTTAATCTTTTGATTATATCAAAATCTATTCTTAGAAAATAAAGACGTCTGGCTCTGCCAGACATAAACAATCAAAGTTTTGTGTTTGTGTTAACTCTACTGATTATGACACAAATATTAACAAAGAGGAACATGTACCGTGTTAATAGTAAAACATAAACAAATATTTTTGTAAAGAGGATTAAGGAAATGATGTAAAAATTTGCACCAAAGTTATTGATTAAGACCTTCATCAAATGGTACATAAATCTCGAGGAAAGAAAATAAAGAAAAGCAACAAAAAAAAATAAATAAATAAAAATCCACAGAAAAAACAACAGAAAACAACAACAACAGTAAAAAAAAAATCATTTGAGTCCTTTTTAGGTATAAATAAATTGCTTCATTATAAAGTTTTTCTTTTGAAAGTTTTAACACAAGTCTGTTTTGTTGTGATTAATGATTCCGAGGGATCACTTTGTTTCCAGATTTTTATCAAAAGTACAAGTCTGGGAATGTGTCTGCTTTACGAATATACTTTTACATGTATTATATTTTTCACATAAGTCTTAAAATGTCAGCGTTCACTATATAGCAATAATAAATTTTTACATACGCTTTCAAGTGTCAGCTTAGTATATAAATATAGCAATAATTATTTTTCACATAAGTCTTAAAGTGTCAGCTTACAGTATACAAATATAATAATAATAATAATAATAATAATAATAGTAATAATAATAATAATAATAATAATAATAATAATAATAATAATAAAAACAATACATAACTGTTTTACAGATTCAAGACCGGTTTAGTGGTTTGCTATTCGAAAAGGAATGTGAAAAAACAAACAAATAACAAATAAAAAACAACAGAAACAAACAAACTGAAACCAATTCATTAATATCATTAAACATACCTTGTGATTCCAGGCTCATAAAACTGTATGTGTTACTGTCATTTACAGTAATCAAGACAGAGCAACCAATACAAACATTATCTTCAGGACTGTACAAAATACCCAGACAGCTCACATTTGAGGTACACTTGCTTGCACAAATGGCAACGCTGGCAACACCATCAGTTTCAAACACATGTTGGCTCGGGATATTTCGGTAGCAGCCAAGGTTCTCCAACGCATGGAATGTTGTCAATATAACACCAGCAAAAACAATTGGAAATTTGAAAAACGAAATCACCAGAAAACAAGATTTAGTCATTTTCAACATTATTTCTCAGTACTAAAACAAACTGAAATATGATTATTTTTGAGCTGGACTGATTGCTGTGACTGATACAAAAATTATAAACTTGTATTTTTGAATTTTTTAAATATACGTATACGAGTACGTATGTAATAATTGTTTACCTAAACTGACGTATTATTTATTTATAATTACTGTAATTGTATGTTCGTGGTTATTTGTAAACATTTAATTTCTAAGATATTAATTGGATTATTCCTTTTTTTGCATCAATGCAAACACGATATTAACAGACAGGGACAGACATTGTCATTTTATAATTAAACATTCCATCTCACACTTTTTAACAAAAGTATCATTAAAATTATTACCATTGAGTAATTAGCTTAAATGTGACAATTAATTCAATACAAATAATTAAGAAACATATGTTTTTTAAACCTTTTTCCCAAGATATTTCTATTTGATCAATTTAAATAGAATTCACGTAATCTTACATTTAATTCTTCGAAAATGTCTGTATATAATAATTGAACTGACCGTGTGGTATGCATTGAATCCTTATCTTCTGTAATTCTAATTATCAGATAATTGGATTACAACAATCATTTAACCACAACCTATTTGTTACCAAACGAGCGCATGTTAATGTTTATGGTTATCAAATAAAGGTCGGAGTAAGGATCTAGGCGCACCGTCAATAATATTATTATTAATATTATATTAAAAATATTAACAACCGTTAAAATCCTTATACAGTGGTGGAAAATTTAAAGTGACTTTAAAGATTTAACCGCATGACACATATTGTAAAAATTTTTTTCTCTTTTTTTTCCTGAAATGAATTTATATAATTATAACTAGTCGAAGAAACTTTAAGATATTCGAGAGAAAAAAAAAACAACAACACAACTTTTTACGTGAGTATATTTAAAGAATCGACCACTTAATTAGCATAATAAAAATAAAACAACACGAACTTATAAGGTCTCGATGGTTAAAAATAGGTTCACGTTGTTCCCAGCGGCGACAGGAAGACGATCGTAATAAAATGACATCGTTGTTTTGCCTGTTTGTTTCATTAACCGTTTGATAAAATTACCACACGAATGTTATGAGTATTCCTTTATTACACGAACGCTGCTTATCCCGACAACAACAACAATAACAACAACAACAACAACAACAACAACAACGACAACAACAACAACAACAACAACAACAAAAACCAGCCACCCGATATCAACGTTTTAAATAAGCTTATAGATAATCTACTTAAGACAAAACAGTAATTTCGAAAATTACACAATATCGACGCTTTAGAATAGCATATGCCTCGTTTGAGATTGGTCCACTGGAACTTTAAAATTAATTTATGTTTTGCTGTATATTATTCATCTGAAGTTTACCCCAATGAGATCAAAGATACGAAGGTAGCGGATTATCTGACACTTTGCACGTAGAGAGAGACCTACATCAAATTGTACGAAATTTTTGAAAATCCCATTTCTTTTCCTACCAAGACAAAAAAAACTAAAACAAACAAAAAAAAAAGGAAAAAAAAAAACAAACAAAAAAAGCGACATCGTTTCAAACATCGACTAAGATCGACTTCTTTAAATATGTGAAATAACAATTTGCATTTGGCCATGCGTAGGCTGATGTATAATCTTTATATATCTGATATCGTGTTTTCATTAACAGCATAATCTGGCAATAAGTCCAGCAGCTGTGTATAATCCGATAGTTTCTAATGGCAATAAATGTATACTTATCAGATTTAATGATATTTTCTCCAATGGTGACAAATAAAACTTAATGTGTTTGTTGATTAAGTCAGTCAGATAACTGGAACTAAAACATCAATATGTTTTCGTAGCAACATTTTCTTTGATAACAGTATTGAAACTTACAAATTGTAAACTGAGTTAATGATTACAATTTAGTTTAATTTGTATTTAAATGCAATTAAATGGATTGAATGTGTATCGATTCAATAATGCTACGCCTGGGGGATGATTTGTATACATATAACCTGATACAGATAAATAACTAAACATTTAATGTGATGAGATGAGTATAATTTATAGGTTTTGTCATTTCCAAATATATTCAAAATGGTATCAACAGCAAAACTAGCATCGCTTGGGATTTTATTCATCATATCTTGCTTAAGTGGACTGGTACTACCTTTTATCATTCTTCGAGGACTTGCACGGAATTGTCAAAGCTCGAAATCCTTTAAAACAGTGTTAGGAGTATTAAACTGCTTTTCTGGTGGAGTTTTCATATCGACATCATTGTTGACTCTGCTTCCAGAGGGTAGAGAAACTGTTGAAAAGGCATATAATGTGATGGGACATAACCTTATGTATCCCGTTACAGAGCTTTTGTTGGGATTTGGATTTCTGATAATCCTACTCATTGAAAGTGTGACGATTTCGTGTTACAAGAAACATAAGAAAATACCTAAAGGTTCCGAACCCCGTCCGGATATAGAACGAGTGAGTGAAAGTCAAACCAGAACTGATACAACTGACACCACACATGAATGTAATGATTATTGTGCTTCTTACCAGAATGGTCATGTAACAGTCATTCCTAGGGTTCAAGGAGCAGACGAACAACAGGACATAACCCCAACATCGCCGAGAACAGAAATTAAAAATGACTCACAACTCCCAGACCACTGTCTCTCTGAAGATATCTATGGCGAAGGAATGTCAAACTTACACAGCATTGTTCTTCTGATGGCTTTGTCAATTCATATGATATTTGATGGTCTTAGTTTAGGATTATTGCCAGACGAGAACGAGGTCTGGTCTCTCCTTATGGCACTTGGAATTCACAAGATACTTATATTTTTCAGTACTGGTATAACAATATGTGAAAGTACAACGACAATAAAATTTATCATCGCTATGCTATATATGTCACTCGTGTCGCCTTTAGGCGTTGGACTGGGAATTTTATTAACATCACAGTCGGCCAATGTTTCGTTAACAATTATTTCTGCCTTTTTACAAGCAGTAGCTGTTGGAACGTTTGTTTATGTTGCATTCTTTGAAATTTTGCTTAAGGAATTTACAGCTGGTGAAAACATGAGAATTGCAAAAGCAATATCTACCGTCTTTGGCTATTGTATATTTGCAGGAATAAAGTTCATTATGCCGGAATAGTATGTCATTCTGAATAAGAAATAAATAAATTGTCATTTAGTAGTAAACGGTGTTTATTTTACATTATAGTATTTAGAGATAAGTGAAAATATTTCATTGAATAAAGAATAATCTTAGCAAAACATCGTCATTTCGATAAATGCCGCTTTATCAATCACATTGGTACTAAGCAACGCGCATGAATAATTAAGAAAAAACATACCGTGTTCAAAATAATTTTTTTTTGGCGAAAGCTTTTGTTCTCGTCTCTAGGTTGCTTTACATGTACACATTTGTTTATTACTGTAACATAATTAATCTAAATGCAAGTATTTTTATCAATACAAAATGCCTTAGGATATTTTCCGCTCAATTTTGCCAAATGCAGTATAATATGCAGTAGTATGGGGGATTTCTTTAATCAAAAACGCATTAGTTTGATTTGTAATCAGCATTAGGGACTTCAAATAAAAATCAAAACAGTTTTGTTTGTTTGATGTTGTTGTTGATGTTGTATAATAGTAGTTGTGAGTGAGAACGTTTTGTCTTCGTTTCTTTTTACATTACCCACATAAATCATTGTGCTGTTGTACTTTTGAGCTGAATTATGCTTCTTAAAAAGTGCAAATGAACAATTATGAAAATGGCGTTTCTAATTACTTTAAAAGAATTCGCAAAGTAATATATTTAAAACAAAATAAACAAACCAAAATCTTAAAACAAAAACAATGTGTTCGATTTTCTCTGAATTACGCATAAATGCATATACGCACGCACGCACAGAGAGAAAAAAACCCACTAAAGTTTGCTTGCATTTTATGCATAAGATGACAGAGTGTACTATTTCTATTTCCATATCATTACTCAGTTAATAACAACTAATAACAATTATGTTCATTCCTTACGATTTATTGATACTGTGGACCAGGCACATACATAAAATGCATTGTATTTGTGAGGAAACCCTTTGAAAACTAGGGAGAGTTTGCATTTATTTTCCCAATTATTATATAAGAAACAGTTAAACATTATAATATAACATTTAACATGCAATATACAGACCAAGATTTCGTTAGAAAGGAAAGCAATTGAAAAAATAAGATAAGTGTTTTTTTTTCCTGGGAAATATAATTTTAAAATTATTACAAGTTACAATGAAAAAATGGCTAATCCTATAATATTTTATGAATAATATGCCGGTCACTATCAATAACTCAATATGAAAAAAATATTTGGGGACATTTACAAGAAGCAAATTACATTGATCTTTGTCATCGGTTGATAAAGATGTAATGTTGTGCCAACTTTTTTTAATTACATTGTATTTGATTCGCTATAAGCAGCAGAGAATTCTCGTATCATTTACACCATTTTGAAACATGTCCTTAGTTATCCAATATCGCACTTTTCAGGTTGTTTAGAACCTCTTAATAAGGCGCATATTATTAGAAATTCATTTTCGAAATTAATTTTAACACCATTCATGAAAACGTTTTTTGAAAAACAACAAAATTGAATTATTGTTTAATTAGAATCTGTAAAAAGATTTTCCACATTTTTTGGAAGTCGAATTTTCAATTATGTTTACCTCAAGGCAGAACAAGGATAATACGAATTATAATCAATAACAATTAATCAACACTACTTTAAGAAATAAATTTCCGACTCAATGAAGTAATAATAAAAAGGAGAGAAAAACCAGCACTAAAATCCCAACAACAATGTTATAATTATTTGTGCTGATTAAGCTTCACTAGAACAAATATTAAGAAGAACGGATTACAAGATTAGGAGACGTTACAAAGTCATTTTTAAACCGCCTTATAGAAACAATCTGGCTAACATTATTTCTACTAAGGGGAATATAATCGCAGAGGGAAAATCTTATTCGTCACGCGAGTTATTGTTTATTTCCCTTTCCGAAATTTCGAATCAATGTTGTAGTATATTTAGTGGAGATTGGTCCAATGGTACTCGATTCAAGTCAAGAGGTATCGGCTGTAGTTTTACACTGAAAATTTCCATGAACATTGCATTTAATTTACTTCCATGAAATATCAAAATATGTATGGCCAAAGGTGCCATGTGCATCAAACTTAGACAATAACATACATTCATAGACTTACTTACACATTTTGTAAGTCGTTCATTTTTTTCATTTTTTTGCGGTTATTTTTTATTGTAATTCATTGTGTAACCATGACCAAACAATCTGAACAATTTTTGCAAAGTAATGTTAATTTATACTGGTCAAGCTTTATATTTTTCTTAAATGAAATACTCAAACGTATAAGAACTAAATATTTGAAATGAATATTTTACAGTTATTGTATGTTATCTGATATTCCCTTATAACAGAAATTATAGAATTATCTAAGCTTATATAATCATAATATAAAGCAGAAATGTTTTTTCTTGTTATCGACATTTGTTTATTGTTTTCTAAAACGTGTTAAATGTTCATTAGGATCCGAAGCAAACATATCTTTATTTCATTATTGTATTTTGTCAGAATGAACGTTGTTAAAACCCATTACTTACACTGGACGTTCATTTTACATTTTTTTATTGATCGGTTTCATTAATGTTTTTAAGCCTTACTTATAGGGATACATTTAGAGCCATATTTTATAACGTTAATATCTTAAATAATGAAGGACAATGTCACTTTCTATTGTATGTCATGTGACTGCGTCTCGACCAATCGTAAAACGGTGAAATTATTATTCATAGGATAACAGCGGTATTTTACTTTTGTGTATGATTTTATCAAGATGTGGATCATGCAAATGGCTGATTTATAACCTGTACTGATTAAATAAACTAAGCCGGTCTGAATACAAATCTAACGGGATCATATAATCATTTAAACAATACTCACATACCTATACACATATCTTGAGTGAACACAAACTATTTTCTTGATATAAGTACACCAATTGCTTAAATAACAACCGCATATATACAGCTTAAAACAAGCAAATTTATTTTCAATAGATTGCAATGAATTGATGTTTTATAGACACAATCATTATAAAATGATCACCTTTTTCCAGATATTTTTTCTTTTTTTAGCAGTTAAATATTACTGATTTTATACGTTCGTCTGTTATCTGTTCAATCTTTATTTCGTATCATGTTATTGTTAAAAATGTAAATATACCTCTTTTAACAATGACTGTATTTGCTTTTTAACTAAAGTATATCCTCACAAGACGAATATTCATATATTCATTACAATGTTATAATTATCTATTGTTTTAATACTATTTTCAAAATGTGATTTTTATCTGTTTTGTTGTAATTCAATGGTAAAGAAAAATACATTTTAAACCGGTTGTCATGTTGAAAAAATGGTTATTATAATAACAATTAATATTCTGTTCAAACTACAAACTTAAAACAATGCCACACTTAAATTTTACATAGTCAAATTTGAAAATAGAAGCTGTTTTACAAGATATTTTTCCTGTATATTTTAGAAATTAAGACAGAGATATAACGTTTATTTGTTACGATTTGGTGCATCATTTAGACAGTATTATCGCAGTCAAAATTAAACTTCATGTATTTGCATAATGGCTGTGTTACCTAAATACTCATCTTATCTTGTAATTCATTTTCCCCCAGCTGATTAAAAAGTGTAGAAAACGGTTGATTTCGCTATGTTGACTACGATTAATGATAATATTCTTTTGATTTCCTTCAAAAGAAATCATTCGTAAATGACTATGACATATTTGGAAAATCTGGTTAAAATATGCAATAATTTGTCTTTGATGTCACAGAAGTAAATTAAAATGATGCTGATTTATCTTTAATAGCAAAATAATCATCATTGAGACAAAATGAGTGGTTCAATCAAACCAAATGTATTCTGTCATAAATGGCGATATTATCGAAAAAGTTATTACAAAACAGTATTATATCCTGAACGCGTAATCATCAAAGAAATGATTTCATTTCGTAGAGGCTTTAAGTTGTATAATGGGATAAAGTTAAGTGCTAATTATCTGATATTTTCATTCATTTATAAAAGTCTCCTTATATATTGATACATGTTATACCAGCAATATTGTTTGTGTATGAAACACGTGGTCACCAAACGTTACTTTTACATTTTTTTTCATTAGAATTCAACAATAAAAACAAACAATAGTGTCATAGTGATTTTAACGCTTTTAATCAACAGATCTTGGTCGGCTATACTAAATGAAAATATAAATTTGTCAAATCTAAATGAAATCACAAATGTGTCAAGAATGTAAATTGAAGCCTCCTAGTGGCAAAAGGGCCAGTGCCGACCAAAGTCAGCAGGCACTGTTGTTATGAAGATATTTTGCATGACAAAGGTTAATCAGCATCTAGAAGCGAACACACAGTAGCTTTGAAAATATTTTAAATAATAAAAAAAAAAGATTTCAATTGATCAATATTAGATATCTGATTTCGTTTTATTTCATTATTATTCAACCTTTTCTTAATACATTTCAGATAAGAAACAATGAGAAATATAATCTTTGTCTCTGAAAATGTCACGTACATGGCATTATTTCACTCCCTATCATTATTAGATTTCAAGTTGATTTACATCATTAAATTGCTACTATTTCTCTGTGAATTATTTCTTTATTTGTTTCATTGAATAAATGTCTAACATCATTTTGATATACTGTAGTCTTAAATAACATCAATATCATCTTGATACTTGTGTTATAAATTTAGAACATCTCCAAGAAATATTCCGGTGTGTGGCGAAGTTTTATTTCTGTATATTTCACACAATTGCCGAGTTTGGTCTATTTAATTTAAAACAAAATTATATTCAGTAAGAACTTTTTTTTTAATAAATCACATTATATTGCTTTATTTTACAAATAGTACAATGTATATTGTAATATATTATATTTATAATATATTTAATAAATATTATGTATATAATATATAAATCTTGTGTGAAGTTGGTTAAACTAATGATCCAAAATCTTTAATTCCATTGCCTTTATACAGCCATCAGTGAACATGTAGTAAGCTAA